CGGCCCCCCCAAGGGAAGGGCCAGGCCGCGGGGCCCGCCCGTTCTCCCGCAGCAGGGCGTGCGGCCTTTCGCCCTTAGAGAGCCCGTTGTCCCCGCCGTTAGAGAGGCTGACCCGTCCCCTCCTGGGCCGCGGCGGAGGGGGGTGGGCGGCCGGTGCGTCCCTCGGGGAGGGAGAAGCTGACTCGGATCCCGCACTTCATCACGTCTCTCTAGGTCGCCCGTCCACGCACCGGTCCCCCATGGCAGCGTGGTCCCGGGGGGCTGTTCTGACCCTCTATCGGGCTCTGCTGCGCCAGGGCCGTGGGCTGCGCTACACCGACCGGGATTTCTACCTCGCTTTCATCCGCCGTGAGTTCCGCAAGAACCAGGGGCTGCAGCGGCTAGAGGACAAGGAAAGACAGTTGGAGAAGGGGGAAGCTTTTCTGCAGCGGCTAGAGGACAAGGAAAGACAGTTGGAGAAGGGGCAAGCTTTCCTGCAGAGCAAACTCGGGGGCCTGGTTTAGAGATTCCCTGTAGCTCTTTTTGGGCCCACTTGCTTCTCTCTTCATTCTAAAATCCCCTCACCAACCGAAAGAGATGATTAACGCTTCCTGGCCACCGCTATCTTGAAGAAGTCTGGAAGGTGCTTGCACAGGCACACTAGGAGGGCTCTCCTGTTCTCTTTACAAATGCATTAGGTCACAGGTAGGTCATTTACAATGATGTAACCATGTTCTTCATGCTACTATTACAGTTAGCTGTGTGAAAGTGCATTTTTTTCTGCTTAGGGGTGAACAGTGACTAGATTCCTTATTCATCAAAGCAGAAACATTCTTCCTGAGATCGTAGCTCAGCCTTAGAAAAACCTAAGGGTAGTTTTAAACTACCCAAGTCAGGCAGGCTCTGAACCTTTGAAACTGACTTAGAAAACAGATCTCGAGTCAGGTTGGAAGAGTTTCCTGCTGTTTTCATGTAGATTCACTGACGTACCTATAGGTACAGCAGTGGCAAACTGTGTTTTACGCATGTAGTTGGCCAGGGAGACTCTTTAAATATCAAGATCAGATTAAATGGGAATTGGTGAAAACAAAAGTACTTGTGCAAGAAAACATTAATGTTCATGTTATACCTGACTTGTATGAGAGTCAAACCCACTAGCCTTGAGGGCAGGAATAAATGTCCAGTGAAAGCAAGGGAGCTGTTCCCTTTGTGGTGCATTGTGGTCTCTGCTGTTGATTCTTAGGTGTCTTTGAAGTATCTGGGACCAGCCATTGTCCAAAAATTAGTCTGGGAGTGGATGCTCAGAGACTGCCTGTCCACTTTTGGGAAGATTCTGATTTGTTATGGACAAGCAGTTGACCATCCCTGCATTGCCTTGTCTGTGAACAGTTACATGCGTTAGATTGAGAAGAAGAAAATAAATTGCCATAAAAAAAGCCATGCTTTGGTTGAGAACCACAAATTAAAAGGAAAATACCTGAACAGTTTTAGAGTTTTACATAATATACAGGATTTTATTGCAAAATACTGCTGAAGTAAATCTTTCTTTTTTAAAAAGCATTAGGTGATTGCACAACTAAATCTGCTTCAATGATTAGAAGCCTCACATCAAATTCAGGTCATAAACGGAGCTGGAAGCAAAGAAATGCTGCCATTGCAGAGCTTGGTCAGTACTGTTCTGGTGTGTCTGAGAATAAGCAGCTCCTTAAAGGAAGATAATTAAAGAGGCTGCAGGGTTAGGTGGTCCCTTCCGATGGCTCCGTGCTAAGACCCCAAGAGCCGTGAGTGTGGGGTGGAGGACAAGGGAGCGAACCGTTAGGGTTACGTGTTTTGATCCGTTTGTTTAATGCTCCTGCTCCTTCCAGGTGAGATGGCAGGCGCTGGGCAGCGCAAAGGGAAAAAAGATGACAACGGCATTGGCACAGCCATTGACTTCGTGCTGTCCAATGCCCGGCTTGTGCTGGGTGTGGGTGGAGCAGCCATGCTGGGCATCGCCACACTGGCTGTCAAACGGGTGAGTGTGCGGGACAGTGGGGTGGGACCTGAGCACGGGTGCACTGGAAAGAAGGAGTGGAAAACAAAAAGACCGGGGATGCTGGCACTAGGCTGGGTACAATGCAAACGTTGGGCCCGTAACGACTCAAACTGTGCCTGGTGATGTTGCTTTAGATGTACGACCGGGCAATCAGTGCTCCCAGCAGCCCCACTCACTTGAGCCAGTCGGGAAAGAGAAGCTGGGAAGAGCCAAACTGGCTGGGCTCCTCCTCACGCTTACTGACCCAGGACATGAAGACTAACGTCAGCCGCTCCCTGCAGACCCTTCCCACTGATCCTTCAGCCGCAGACACAGGTAAGGAGCAGGGTGATACTCCTGCATTACAGAATCTTCCAGGCCAGTAAACCCTGTATTCCTTTAAAGGAACACAGGAAAGAGAATACTCTGTCTAGCCCAGGATTTTGATGTTTTTCTTTTAAGCAGGTCTACTGGTAACATCAAGAATTAGAAGTCAGATTGGGAACTAGTGAAAAATAGTCATCTATTTGCATTCTTCATTCCTCTCATGACTTCATGATCTTGAGCTTTATTCTCCCTCAGTCTTTTCTCTTTCAAGCTGAATACTTGTCTGTGCAATCTTTCCTGATTTTTTTATTCATTTCATTTCTTTCAAGCTCTTTGTTGCCTTTCTTTGGACTATTCCAGTGTGCTGGTGTCTTTTTAAGAGGGGAATATTCAAACTGTGAATGTACTAGCAATTTATAACAGTATTTCCTATATTATTTCTACTTTTTTCCTAGGAATTTTTGTAACGCTGTTTGCCTGTTTAGTGCTGCTTATCACTGAGTTAGTAATTGTCAGGCTATAAAAAGTGACCTGCAGTCTTCTTTCTGAGTGGGATAATAAGTAATTTAGAGTTCATCAGTGTTTGTTCTATGTGGTTGGTTGTTTTTTTCTCACCGGTTTTACTTTCTATCACTGGTCACTTCAGGAGATTTACACTTGGTGGTTTAAAATAAAAATTAGGATCAAGCTTTTAACTTGATTTCCAGATTCTCTGCAAGAAAGTCAGTTTCAGGATGGCAACGGATTTTCTGCTGAGGAAATGTTAAATGACTAGACAGCTGTTAAATGGGGTCTAGATCATTTGGTTGGACTCCCTAAAGATGAGGACTGAGGAATAAAACCATTGATGATGGCATCTTGCATTCTTGACTTAAAAAGAAATTAAAACTTAAGATGGAAAAATAACTTTTTTTCATGAACAGGCAATGAAGTCTGGTTCCCTATGGTTTTGCAGGCTATTGCCTTTTCACACAAACACTCAAATCTGTCCAAAAGACCCCACTGGGACAAGAGACAGCAGCTGCTGCTGAGGTTGGGTGAGATGGGTTTGTGTACAGTTTGGTCAGCCATTCTGCATGTGCTACGTGGCCAAATGCCTGTTGCCAAACAAATGCGCAACAGCTGATTGCCTTAATGGGACCAGTGACTTGGGGGTTTTTCCTGCACCTGTTAAGTACCACAGTCCTTCCAAAGATTGCTTAGATCTGTAATTCTTCTTTAATTCTCGTTGATAACTTCTGAAACTCTTGGTCCATATTAAGAGAAGTCTGAAAGATAGAGGGGAAGCATTGAGTTATTTCTTTAGGAAACCAGTCAGAAAAAAAGGGGCTTAGAGAGTCTCTGCAGGTTAGACATTGCTTAATAATGCAGATGGCAAGGTAAAGCTTTGTATTGCTGCTATGTGCCTAAGAGTGCGCTCTCTGCTCTTTGGCCATTGAAAGTTTGAGGGAGTTTTTCACTGGGGCTATGATGGCCTGAGCTCTGCTGGCCCCAAGGTCTGTCAGCTCATGCTGACAGTGGTGATCAGAGTCCTGACAACTATTTCATTTCCAAGTGGCATGATCTCCTTAGATCTCGTACCCTAGTCAGGACTGGGTTTTGCTGATAATTTGTAAAAATCCATTGTAATGTTAAAAACTTAATGAGATAGTGATGGTTGTTCAAGAGTGTTTTATCCACTAGTCTGGCATCATGTTAAAAGCTTCTGAACTGGTAACGGTGCTGAATTTTTGATGAAATTGAACTGAGGTACTGCCCACGTAGCCATTAAAATTACTTTCTTGTACATGATGTTAGTCTTGTTCTGGCTACATTCCAAATCTAGTAACTTGTTTTCATCCGGTTTGATTCCCGTAGTAGTATCTTTTGAAGTTTCTCAGCACTCCCTTTTGACTGGTACCTGTGTAAAGCATGCAAAATGTTTGCTGAAAGCTTTTTGGGACCTAGAGAGCTGTGCTTTGGTGCTGCAGATGTTCTTCTGCAGATCAGTTCACAGTGAAACACTGCAGATGATCAACAGTTTTCCTTCTGTCTTGCAGACTTTTTCCGACCCACAAAGCCCAAGCCATCTGCCAAGAGGAGTCAAGTGGAGCTGAAAAAATCCCGCCTTCGTCTGTCTCTGCAAGAAAAGCTCTTTGCTTATTATCGGAGGAAGGTAGCTATCCCAGCGGATGAACAGGCCCGGGCCAAGCAAGCAGCTGTGGATATCTGTGCTGAGCTGCGCAGCTTCCTACGTGCCAAGCTGCCGGACATGCCCCTGCGTGACATGTACCTCAGCGGCAGCCTGTATGATGATCTGCAGGTAATTCCTGGGGCCGCGTGATGGGTCATTATTCAGAAGGCTGACTAGGCAGGGGCATTTCAGGCTTCTCTGTTGGCAGTGCTGGCTCAGCAGAGCATTCCTCTGCAATAAGGCTCTTGGTGTCGCCTTTCCCACCGTGGAGCCAGGTGTTGATTTCTGCAATACTGTTTGAACAGGCATGACCAGGCTGCTCTGGCTCAGAACAGTGTGCAAAGAATTTGCTTTTTGCCATTTTATTTCTCCGGATTATCTCAGGCCTTCTTTCCTTCCCCTCTGTCTCTCCCTGTAGCTGTGTTTTTCTTTCTGTTTTTCTGGTAGACCTCTGTTTTATCTCTGTCCCTTCTATCTCCTTCCAAATACATGATACTCCCTTAGAGCTCCTGTGTATTCATGTAGGTCTTCCCTACTCTTTTATTTAATGCATGTCAGACCTGGATTGGACAGCATATCTCCCTGATGGCAAGATGCACATGGCTATAGTGAGTGATTCAGAGGCACACTTTTTTGTTTGAATCAGAGCTCTGCAATGGAGTGTCGAGTGTCCAGTGAAACTTAGATCTGGGGTCTTAATCACACTGGTGAAAAGGGATCTTTTAATGACCTTTCTCCAAACAATGTAGCAGACCAGGTGAGGGCAGTAACTAGTTGTAGCATGGGATAATTAAACCATGGCAACTTAAGCTTGTCTAGAAACGTAATACTCTGCCTCCTGTTTTAAATTACCATGTGGTGTTGCTGTGCCCTGGGCCAGCTGCATCTCACATCCAAGGAGTGGTCTCAGAGTAATAGGAGGCAAAATGATTATTCATCTATATGCGGTCCATGTCAGGTCCTGAAGTATTTAAAGACCTCTAACTGGTACGTACTGTATAAGCGCTATCTTGGGTCATACCTTGGAGTTATCCCACTGGCAATGGGAAATAGTCCTTCAGAATGTCTTTTGACAAAGGGAGGCTGTGAATCCCACGCAGAGAGGAGAGTGAGACAGCTGAATCCTTGTTCTACATTCCTTTGAACAGAAGGCTATCTAAAGGTGGTGAATAAAACTGTGTGTGGAGAGAGAAAGCTTGTTCTTACTGACTTTTCTCTCTTGTGAAAGGTAGTGACAGCTGACCACATCCAGCTCATTGTGCCTCTGATGCTGGAGCAGAACCTGTGGTCGTGCATCCCCGGGGAGGACACCATCATGAACATTCCTGGCTTCTACTTGGTGCGTCGGGAAAACCCAGAGTACTTTCCCCGTGGGAGCAGCTACTGGGACCGCTGTGTGGTGGGAGGTTACCTTTCCCCCAAAGCTGTAGCAGACACCTTTGAGAAAGTTGTAGCTGGATCCATCAACTGGCCAGCAATTGGGACTCTCTTGGATTATGTGATCCGTCCAGCAGCTCCCCCAGCAGATTTGACACTGGAAGTCCAGTATGATCCAGAACGGCATCTTTTTATTGACTTCCTACCATCCCTGACACTGGGTGACATCATCCTTGTGGCCAAACCCCATCGACTGGCCCAGAATGACAATCTGTGGCGACTGAGCCTGCGGCCAGCAGAAACGGCTCGCCTCCGAGCCCTGGACCAGTGTGATTCTGGCTGCCGTTGCTTGTGCCTGAAGATCTTCAAAGCGGTATGCAAGTCAAACCCAGCCCTGGGCCACCTCACTGCCAGCCAGCTCACCAATGTCATCCTGCACCTATCCCAAGAAGAGTCCAACTGGGCCCAGGACATGCTGGCTGATCGCTTCTTGCAGGCGCTGAAGGGGTTGATCCGCTACTTGGAGGCAGGTGTCCTCCCTAGTGCTCTGAACCCCAAGGTGAACTTATTTTCAGAGCTCACCCCTGAAGAAGTGGATGAGTTGGGCTATACCCTCTACAGCTCTCTGTCAGAGCCAGAGGTCTTGCTGCAGACGTAATGGGGCCTTACCTAGGGAAATCTTGAAAGGGTTCAGCCAAGGTGGACATTGATTACTGGGAAATATGTCTCCTCCACTTCTCTCTCTCTGTCTGTTTCCTTTTGGTTCATTAATATTTCCTGCTGTGGAGTTGGTGCTCCCACTGAATTTCTTGGTGCTACTGGTCCATTTCCACCATCTCTGCCCCAACAGGTACCCATTGGCTAGAGAAAAGAGGCTAAAACTGCAGCTCTAAGATCATCACATAAATTCTGCTGATGTTTAAGTGTCTATCAAAAAAAAAAAAATCAAACTATGCACTTCTTTCTCCTGTAGTACACTACTGCAGCGAGTCCATTTTGGTCTGAAGAAGGTGGAACTGGGCTGGTAAATCCAGTGACAATTTTAGCAGACTTGCATTGAGTTCCTTTCCTTTCCTCCAGTCTGACTTGTCCCATGTTTCTTTTTCTCTGCTGTACCACACTGTCTCACTTTCCTCTTTTTTTTTTTTTTTTCTTTTTCCTTGATCCCTTTGACCCAGTCATGCAGGGCAGACTGAGTGAGATGTTTTGGATAGGGTTGTTTTTTGTATTTCTGAGTGGATAATGATTACACTGGCAGTATTTAGGGCTGTAGAGCTTGGACTAGGAGAATGCCCATGCCCATGGCTCCTGCTCCTATGGAGCCTTCTCATGCTTTGCAAGCTGGGTTCAGGAGTAAGGGCTGAGGCTTATTGAAGCTGTCATACAGGAGGAAGAAACTTTTGTGGTCTAGCTGTGTGATGAGGCCAAAAGGAGCAGGGCTTGTCATTCCTGCCTAGCCAGATCTGCTGGGTGTTGCTGGTGGGAATGGCCCTGGGAATGGAGAACAGGGTGGCTCCGTAGATGTCTCTGGCCTGGAGGAAGAGAAGCTGATTATGGGGGAGGGGTGGGAGACACACATGGGAACGGGGATTATATTTTTCATCTTTTCCCCAAGAGGTTATGGCTGTTCTGGTTTATAGGAGGTGGAATCAAGACTGTATGCCTCAGAGATCTTTGTAATAAGCACACGTAAGCCAGATTTTCACCAGCTATAAGTCTGTGAAGGCGATAGGACTGAACTGGCGTCATCAGCAAGGTTCTGTCCCATACACTGATATTAGGGTACATATGCAGAGCTGGCATTTAGAGGTATGTTGGCTTTGCCATCTGCTCTCAGTGTGTGTTTTAGTCCCCTCCCCAGCCACCTTAGAACTGAGGCTGTCCGTCCCCTTCCTCATTCCCACGCACTGACTTTCCGGTGTTCCCAGTTTACAATTACTCTTAGAAAGCTGGTGAGGGCACACCTGCCCGCTCAGTCTGTTCAGACCTGTTGGTAATGCAGTTGTGCCCACTCCAGTTTACGGCTGCTATCAGGCTGTTTTCCCTTGACTGCCCTTCCATCTGCTGCTGGACTGTGGTATGGGTTTTGGGGGGCAGCTGCTGTGCTGGTGGTATTTCCTACACTAGCCACGTGGACTCTGTATACTCTGCATTCAGCCTTCTGGCCTCCTGTCATCAAAAAGGGGAGGGAGGGTGTTCTCCCGAGTCTGGGGCTCTCTCTCTCAAAAGACCAGTGCAGCTATCATTACAGAAACATACTTAGCTTTCCCCAGCTTTAGCACCATTTTTTCCCCCTTGCTGTCCAGCCTCCCTAGCCAATGGAGAGGGGTACTGCAGCAGCAGAGTTTGGAGGGAGCAGGAATTCTTTTCTCCTCCTTTCCTCTCAGGACTTAACTCCCCTTTGACAGAGAAGCTTCAAGGTGAGTTTCAGGAGTGGAACCAAGGAGGGGAGTCTTTAGCCCTTGTTTTCTTTTTAGAGGCAGTGCTGGTCAGATGAGGGAGGGAGCATCTTTTTCGGACAATCCGTCCATTTTAGCCAATGTGTCAGACAGTATTCCATATACAGTGATAACGCAACGTTGCATTTTAAATTATTTAATCCTTAGGGTACTGGTATTTTCTAGACTGCCAGATGCGTACTTTGAAGTTTGTGTGTATATATAAAGTCTGTAGTCTATAAAAGGTTAACAGAAATTCCGTTTGTATGATTTTGTGTTTTGTAAGTTTTGAAGCAGTCAGTGTTGGTCAGCTGTTGATTGCTCTTCACTCTGGTTCCCAGATTTTTTTTTCCCCTCTTCCTTTCCTTACCCTCCACTGCCTTTCTGATGTCAGCCTTCCTACCCTAAAAGCAGACAGATGAGACTTTGGAGCCTATAGGCTATTGGGGAAAAATTCCCCTTTCTTCTAATTACTTGAAGGTCAACAAAAATATTAAAATATCCAGGTTGTCAGGAGTTCCCCGTATATTCATTTCTTCAGTGTGATCTCACTTGGTGCTGACTCCAATACCATGGTTTTCACACAGAACTGAGCAGCAACATGGTTTGGAATGATCAAAACTGTAGATAACAAAAAAGGTGAAACATAAGCAGGAGGAAACCACTGTCTGAGCTGGCTTGAGAACAGTTGCCTCATACATATCTGTATATAGAATTTTTTACATGAATGCTTTTACTTCTTCCTGGCAACCTAATGAATTAATATTTTATGGCCATTTCTTGCTGCTATTGAGCTCAATTTGTGTATCAAATGGAGACTGAAGCTGCCTTTTTGCCTTTTCTGTAGACTTTGCTCCACTTCACTTGACTCACTTCAATCATTTCTTCCCTTCGGTTTTTTCCGTCCTCTGAGCTAGCCACAAGCCCGTTCTCGGGTGGCAGATGCTCACTTCCTACAGGCAGCCACCACAGTGGGCAATAGCTGCCCTGGCAGTGGCAGTCTCAGCAAAGGCCAAAGATGTAATGGGTCACAGGGACACTACAACTAGGAGTATTTCAAGAGCAGGGTCAGGCATAAGATGCAACAGAGGCGGGGAAGAAGGAGCAGGGTAAGTATGCAGGAAATTTACACTAATGCCGTACCTAGCCTGTGGGTCAAACAAACTGTTGAAGAGTCTTTCGAACTGGCACCTTTCAGTATTAAATGCAGTACACATGTTGACATACAGCCTGGAGGGCTGTCTTACGTAGAGGTAGGCTCCTTCCTAGTCAAAGCTGTAGCACAGAGCAGGAGGACCTAAAGCTGAATGTGAAAAGGGCAGCTCCTGGCCACTTTCCTGGCAGAGCGGCTCAGAGACAAATTGATTGTAAGAGGCCCAGAGCGTGCTTTTGGTTGGTTGCTGCCTGGGCTCCAAGAATGCCTCGGTGCGTTCTGCTATAGCTTAGCTCACAAGAGCTTCCCATGAGATTGTTGTCTTGTTCCCTGTAACCGCAGGGCGAGGACCAACTTGCTCAGCAGTGGGGTTTCACTGCTGCTGAGCTCCACTGCTAATCCTTCAAGTCAGATGGATTTCTTTTCCAGTGTTTAAAAGCAATTATGGAAACAAGAGGCTGCTTTCTGCCTCCTGGCGAGCTGCCATCAGGGCCCTCACTCATAGCATGTGGGTACTCGCAGTGAGAAGTGAAGAGATGATGCCCCATCTCTCCCAGGCCTGGAGGCTGTGGATTTGCAAAGGGGAAAGTCTAAGTGCATGGTCTGTGACAGAGTGTGTGAAATTCTGAAATAAAATGACTTTCCACAGTAGCCTGGTTGTCTCTGGTGTGTTTATAAACAAAGGACCATCTCTGCTTTTGTCTCAGTGCATCACCTTTATGCTGTCGTATTTCTGCACCACACCAGTACCTGGGGACCAACACGCCCCGTGCTTATTTACTGTTTTCCCTTTGCGGCTCTGGGTGCTCACTGCTCTGCAACTTGCCTTGAGAGAGCAATCAGCTCGGTACTGCAGCGTGCTGGCTCCTGGCAGCATTCGCACCAGTCACAAGATGATGTGTAATTATGGCGCTGTGCCTCCCATCCTTTCTCTAAGAGCCCGCGTGCCCGGACAGGCACCTGCCTTTCATGTGGCTCCCCAGGCTTCACAAGCTTGTGTGCCTCTTTAATATTAAACTTTCCCGTGCAGGCTCCCCCACCCTCGCTCAGTCACACGTTGGTTTCTACATGCCAGTCCTCTCCCCTGCCAAATGCAATCCTCTCTTATCCAAGCATCAGCCTTGAGGCAGTGAGGAAGCAGCGGTGCCAGGGGCCTGTGCCTGGTGTATTGAAGCTCTTTGCAGTAAGACCCAGTTTTATGTGCCTGCTTGGGAATGTGGGGCGGAAGTGTTGGACATCAAGTAAAACATGAAGTGATGCTGCTTTTGATAGATCCCGGGCTCCTTAATTCTGGGAGGACGTGCTATGGTGACAACATTGTCCTGTGAGACTTGTTTTAATGAGGACTCTGCAATTAACATTTAACTATTTTGGAGGCTATGTTACCATACAGAGGGAGTCTACATCTCTTAACATCTTTTTTTCTGATACGCCTCGCCTGTGTTGTTTTGTTTTTGTCCTTTAATCTGTTCTGTGGTACAAACAGATCAGATGAGATCAAGCATGTTTCGTGTCTGATGGAGTCTTACGGGAACAGCTAAGACGAGCTGCTCTGTGGAATCTCTGCCAGGTATGACCCCCTCAAGTTAATGCCCCTGGAAAGCCTGGAGCTTGCAAGACATGTTTAATGTGTGCAGTGGTTTGCACCTTTGCATAAAAGCTGCCCTGGCATGAATAGGGAGGAAAGATCAAAAGATACGGGTTTGTTTAATGTAGAGAAGAAATAATTGAGGGGAGTCATGATAATTATTTCAAGTATGGAAAAGCTACAAAGAAGAGGAGCATAAATGGTTCTCCAGGCTGCAAAGACTCAGCATCTCTTTTGTTCTTAGCCTAACGAACAAACAGCTTAGGAGGAAGGTGAATTTTGGAAAAAGGAAAATACTTTGCGCACTTTGTTATATAACCACAGCCCTGTCCTGGAAATTAATGAGCTTACATTTTACTTAGTTATTTGTGCATCTCTTCATTTTAAATATAAATAAATAAATTCCAGCCTGACTGTTCTGTAGCACATCTTAGGCTGGGGGGCAGAGAGGGTGACTGTACCCCAAATTTGAGATGATCATGCTAAAGTGTTGAACTGTATGATGAATGTTTCTTTTTTTCCCCCAAATACTTGATCACCTCTGTGGGCTCTTTTTAATGTTTATTTTAATATTATAAACTCTAGAAAAACTGCAAACAGCTGCTGCTTTTTAAATTTAGTCTCATGGAAAAAAGAGGGGCCTCTTCCAAA